TGTTATTTTCCATTATTTTCCTTGAACTCATAAAAAGGGATTCTGTACACTCATTTTGGGATTATGGAATAGAATATCAGAAATCCCTAATCCTATCTCTCTCTTGTTCTTCCCCAATTTCCCAAATCCCTAAATCTTCTTCTCTTCAATCCCTAATTCCCATTCTTAATCTCTTTCTCACCATCACGCTTCTATCATTTGGTATCAGAGCCAACATGAGTTCCTCGAGACTCACTGATCCGACCTGGGCTCGTACACGACAGCTGATCAAGTTCACGCTCTCTGAACTCCGGCGAGAGGCGCAGGACCATGGGTGGACAGCAGCAGCGGCGGCCGAGGTGGCCGATCCAGTCGCGGCGGTCGCAGAACCGACGGGGCCGACGCGGCGCACGAGCGCGGCGGAGCGCGAGCTCGCGGCGTCAGCTGGCGGGGGACGCGCGATGGAGGCGGGCGGCGCGCGGCGAGCGGTGGCGGCTGGCGAGCGCCGCGGCGAGTCGGGCGACAGGGGAGGAGGCGCGCGCGCCGAGGCAGCGCCGGTAGGGGGTGCGACGCCAGGCGGGGACGGCGGCAGCGAGCAGGGGCAGAGGATCGGCGACGTCGCTTCTCTCTCTCTACACTCGGCGACCGGGCTGCCTACGCCGGGCACGCTGCGATTCCAGGCTCGAGTGGGAGGGGTGACCGCGCTGACGTTGGTGGATAGCGGCGCCTCGCTCAATTTCATTAGTGCCGAGCTTGCCGGGACTCTATCCATGGCGCCGAGTACAGTGGAGAAGATTGTGGTTCGGGTTGCGAATGGGGCGCCTATGCAGTGTACCACGGTTTATCGGGGGCTTGCTTTGGAGATTCAAGGCTTGCCGGTAACAGCTGATTTCTTTTTGTTGCCCATCAGGGGATTTGATATTATCCTGGGCATTCCTTGGTTGCAGAGTTTAGGACCGACTACCACCGATTGGAAGGGCTTGACCATGCGGTTTAAGTGGAGAGATAAGGAGTGGAGCTTACAAGGGCTTACCACTGCTTTGGGGCCCATTTCCATCCATGATAGCACCGAGATGGGAGAGGCGGACTTCGCCGTGCTGTGCTGGCCGATGGAGACTGGGGAGACCCAGGAGATGGCCCCTGATCTGCAGCTAGTCCTTGACAGGTTCGCCGTGATCTTCCAGGAACCGACTACTCTCCCGCCACATCGCCAGGTGGATCACGGAATTCAGCTGAAGGATGGGGTGGAAGCTGTTAATGTCCGACCCTACAGGTACGGTCACTCGCAGAAGGAGGAGATTGAGCGTCAGGTTGCTGAGATGCTGACTACCGGGCTGATCAGGCCCAACACTAGCCCTTTTTCTTCACCGGTGCTTTTGGTCAAGAAAAAGGACGGGAACTGGCGGTTCTGCACTGACTACCGGGCACTCAACGCCGCGACAGTGAAGGACCGTTTCCCGATTCCGACGGTGGATGACATGCTTGATGAGCTGCACGGGTCCTCTTATTTCACTAAGCTCGACCTGAGGGCCGGCTATCACCAGATCCGGATGAGGGAGGAGGATGCACACAAGACAGCCTTCCGGACCCATAACGGCCATTATGAGTACCTGGTAATGCCGATCGGGTTGTGCAATGCCCCTTCGACCTTCCAGGCAGCTATGAACGACATCTTCCGGCCCCTGCTTCGTCGGTACGTTCTGGTCTTTTTTGATGACATTCTTATTTACAGCCCGACATGGGAGGCCCATTTGCAGCATTTGTAGGCTGTGTTTGAGATTTTGCAGCAGCACCAGTATTACCTCAAGGCTTCAAAATGTGCCTTTGGGGTTCAGAAGGTGGAGTATCTGGGGCACATTGTCACGCCTCAGGGAGTACAGGTGGACCAGAAGAAGATCCAAGCCATGGTGGAGTGGCCGACCCCGACCACTGTCACTGAACTGCGGGGATTCCTGGGCTTGACAGGTTATTACCGGAAGTTTGTACAGGGCTACAGCATGATTGCTCGGCCCTTGACTAATCTGTTGAAGAAAGGCGGGTTCGTTTGGACTGCAGAGGCCGATGCAGCATTCTGCCAGCTGAAGCAGGCCATGACCACCACCCCGACTCTGGTTATGCCTGACTTCTCTCGCACCTTTGTTATTGAGGCAGACGCATCGGGCCGGGGCATTGGGGCAGTGTTATCGCAGGATAAGCACCCGGTGGCCTTCATGAGTAAGACTTTGGCGCCGTCCAAGGAGGCTTGGTCCACCTACCAGAAGGAGATGCATGCTATCATTACGGCAGTTCAGATGTGGAGGCCCTACCTTCTGGGACAAAAGTTCCACATTTACACCGATCATCAGAGTCTGAGGAATTTATTGGAGCAGCGAGTTTCCACTCCAGATCAGCACAAGTGGGTCTCCAAGCTCCTGGGGTATGATTATGAGATTCACTACCGCCCCGGACCATCTAATGTCGTGGCGGATGGTCTATCGAGGCGCCCCGGGAGTGAGATTTTGGCGGCAGTTACAGGACCAGTACCTCAGTTTTGGGACGTTCTGCGAGCTCTTATGGAGACGGACGAGTATCTGCAGGGATGCCGTGAGATAGCGGTTAGCGCCGATCCCGGTCACTACTCTTGTCGGCAGGGGTTGGTGTTCTTCCGAGGGCGGGTGGTGATTCCCCGGGGGTCGTCCCTAGTGACGACAGTGTTGCAGGAGTTCCATGACTCTCCGTTTGGAGGGCATTCAGGGGTGGAGAGGACACTGAGGAGGATCTGAGCCCAGTTCTATTGGCCCCAGATGGGCCGGGATGTGAAGGACTATGTTGCATCTTGTGACACCTGTCAGAGAGTAAAGGCATCCCATCTGCGACCAGCGGGTCTCCTGCAGCCGTTACCAGTGCCGGAAAGGGTGTGGGAGGACATCAGTATGGATTTTATTGTCGGGTTGCCACCATCTGGAGGAAAGACCGTCCTGTTCGTCGTCGTGGATCGACTGACGAAGTACGCCCATTTCATGGCCCTGGCACACCCGTTTACCGCGCGATCAGTGGCTGAGCAGTTTGTCTTAGGGGTGGTCCGGCATCACGGCTTTCCGAGGTCCATTGTCAGCGACCGAGACTCCGTTTTCTTGAGTCGTTTTTGGCAGGAGGTGTTTACGTTGGCTCGGACCCAGTTGCGGATGAGTTCGGCATATCACCCCCAGACTGATGGCCAGACGGAGGTGGTTAACCGCTATTTGGAGCAGTATTTGCGTTGTTTCACCCATCAGCAGCCTCGACGGTGGCTAGCATATTTACCATGGGCCGAGCTATGGTATAACTCCACGTACCATAGGGCTATCCAGATGACACCGTTTGAGGCTTTGTATGGGCGTCCCCCACCTTCTCTGGTACGTTATCAGGCGGGTTCCAGCCCAGTGGATGCAGTGGATCGGTGGTTAGGAGAGCGGGATGAGGCTTTGGATCAGCTCAAGGCTAATCTGGCGGCTGCCAATAACAAGATGAAACAACTGGCTGATGCAGGGCGACGAGAGGAGGAGTTCGAGGTGGGTGACTGGGTTCTGCTCCGTCTGCATCCCTACAGGCAGGCTTCTGTATTCCGACGGGCATATCAGAAGTTGGCGGCACGGTACTTTGGCCCGTATGAGGTGTTTCAGAAGGTTAATCCGGTGGCCTATCGTCTTCAGCTACCAGCCGATTCGCGCATTCATTCTACCTTTCATGTGTCCCTCTTGAAGAGGTACCGTGGCGCGGCTGATCGAGTGGAGACAACTGCACCTCCGGTGTCGGCAGACGGTGATCTCGAGCTGGTTCCATTGCAGGTGATAGACACCAGGTGGGTCAAGAAGGGCGGGCGCGTGATCGAGGAAAGCCTGGTCCTGTGGCAGCACATGGAGCGGGAGGACGCCACTTGGGAGGAGACTGCTACCCTTCGGCAGCGGTTCCCGACATTCGACCTTGAGGACAAGGTCGCTTCTGATGGGGAAGGGGATGATAGAAACCGAGGGTGAGAGGGGTGAGGATGGGTCAGTCGGCCGGCTGGGCCGGGTGGGGGAGTGACCATTTTGTTATTTTCCATTATTTTCCTTGAACTCATAAAAAGGGATTCTGTACACTCATTTTGGGATTATGGAATAGAATATCAGAAATCGCTAATCCTATCTCTCTTGTTCTTCCCCAATTTCCCAAATCCCTAAATCTTCTTCTCTTCAATCCCTAATTCCCATTCTCAATCTCTTTCTCAACATCACGCTTCTATCAGCTATTCAAGCAAAACAGGATTAGTAAGCCTAATGGCTTACTCCAAATCTAAACAGACAAGACGGGTTCGCAAGTTCGAATACTTACTCAGAATCCACACAATAAATCAACAAAATGTCTTTCCATATCCCATTCACAATTCATGCATTTCCAACTTCATACCAAAAGCAGATAATGAATAAACACAAATAAGCCATATCACATAGCCATATCATTTCCCATCAATTCCCATATTATACCGGAGCCTCTTCATGACCCCGATATGTATACGGGCCGCTTCATGACCCGAATACTGTGATTATGTTGAAGTAGATCTAAGATTAGAATCTACTCACAGTTTTGTCTTCACTCGGCTATGCCCTTCCCTTTGGATGAGCTCCCGGCTTGCTCCTTACCTTTATGTACAAGATTTCCAGGTTATTCAAGCACCAAGATACGTATACATTCATCAAAATCATGGTTGTGTCCATGCATGTCGATAAGACCACTAGGGAAGTCATACAACCGTACACTTTACCCTGCTTCATCATTTTGATCATTTCTCCCTTGATACTTAACCAAATCAGTTGATTCTTGTTGCTACTGAAACTAGATTCATAGGGATACAACATACCCAAATTTCAGACCATTTGGATCATTCTTTTGATCCCAGCAATCATTTTAACTTGACATTTCAAAACTGTCAACAACTTTCTTTTCACTTCAAAACCAACTCCCCTTCTTCTAACAATTGTTCCTGACCACTCCGATATCCAAACTACATTCTGAACGGTCAGTTCGAAGAAACACATATACTTAACCTCATACCAAATTTCTAGAACGATCCAACGACGGATTCGCACAGGATCTTACCTCTAATCTACTGTCCTGCTACAGAAAAACAGTATCGCACCCCTTCTGTCCAGCGACTTTCCTCGATGAACCAGAGATCATATCGATGATCCCAACGGTCAAATCGTATCCAAAGAAGTATGAAACCCAACCTACAAATCTCAGGATGATCCAACGGCTTGATTGTCCGAAATCGTCCTTCTCACAGGCTGTCCTGCTGCTGGACGGAAATTGGCAGCACCCTCTTTGCTTCCTTCTTCTTCTTCCTCTTCCTCTCCTTGATACGCTTTTCTTTCTAGCTTTCACTCTTTGTTTCTGAAAGGGGGTGGTGGTTTTTGAGGTGGTGAAACCAGGTGGAAGAAAAAGAGCAAGAGAGGGACGTGGGAGAGAGTGAGGGGAAGGGATGAGAAGGAAAATGAGAGATAAGAGGATGGGCAGATTTTTATCTCCATTATCTAGAATTCTCCATCCCTCCAAATTGTCTATTTGGCCCTAAACTTTCCTTCACTTGCAATTAAGTCTAGAACTTCCACTATTCACTTTCTTTTTGGTTCAAAAGACTAATTTTTGTAACCCGATCACAAACACGTCATAATAATTAGTACGAGGGCAGGGATGTTACATTTCCTCCCCTCTAAATAAAATTTCGTCCCGAAATTTACCTTGAAACAAGTAGGGGTATTGTGCTCTGATGCTTTCTTCCGTCTCCCACGTGGCTTCTTCTCCAGTGTGACTTTTCCAAATTACTTTCACCATAGGAATACTTCGATTCCTAAGTTGTTTCACCTTTCGGTCCACGATCTCTTTTGGTTACTCCACATAGCTTAGATCTTTCTGGACCTCAATCTCATCTGGTTCCAGTACATGTGACGGATTCGATCGGTATCTTCGAAGCAAACTCACATGGAAGACATTATGAACTTGAGACAATTCTGGTGGTAAGGCAAGTCGATAGGCTATCGGACCTATCTTTTCCAGAATCTCATAAGGTCCGATATACCTCGGACTTAACTTACCCTTCTTCTGGAATCTCAAAACACCTCTCCAAGGAGACACTTTCAAAAATACTTTCTCTCCACTCTGAAATTCCATCTCTCTTCGGTGGATATCAGCATAGCTCTTTTGCCGGTTTTGTGTGGCCTTCAATCGGCTTCTGATCACTTTAATCTTATCCACTGCCATCTGAACGATTTCAGGTCTTTCCAATTGCCGTAACCCTTCCTCATCCCAGCACACTGGGGATCTGCATTTCATTCCATACAGAGCTTCATATGGAGCCATACCAATACTACTATGGTACTGGTTGTTATAAGCAAATTCAATTAGTGGCAAATGTTCATCCCAAGAACCTTGGAAATCCAGTACACAAGCTCGCAACATTTCCTCAAGAGTGAGGATTGTTCGCTCGGATTGACCATCGGTCTGGGGATGAAAAGCGGTTGAAAAGTTCAGACGAGTACCTAGTGCTTCTTGCAAACTCTTCCAGAATCGAGAAGTGAACCTCGGATTTCTGTCAGAGACGATGGATACTGGTACTCCATTTAGTCTCACTATTTCCTCCACATACTTCTTTGTCAGTAACTCTAGCGGAAAACCCCATCTAATGGGTATAAAGTGAGCCGACTTTGTCAATCGGTCCACAATAACCCAAACGGCGTCGTTCTTCTTCTGAGTCCTAGGTAGACCATAGACAAAGTCCATGGTAATCTTTTCCCATTTCCATTCTGGAATGGACAGTGGTTGCAATTTTCCCGCTGGGGCTTGATGTTCGGCTTTCACTTTCTGACATACCAGACACGTCAAGACATGTTCAGCTACTTCTTTCTTCATCCTTGGCCACCAATAATGAGATCTCAAGGAACGGTACATTTTTGTCGTTCCAGGATGCATTGCATAAGGAGAGGAGTGAGCTTCTTCCAAAATCTCCCTTCGCAATTCATCCACATTTGGAACACAAAGTCTTTCGTTTAGTGTCAGAACGCCATTTCGAAGTGTGAATTTAGTTTCTTCCCCTTTACGACTCTTATCAATAATCTTCCTCAATTCAGGGTCTTGATCCTGAACTTTAATAATTCTTTCTCTCAGAATTGGTCGCACTTGTAAAGTGGCCAATAACCCTCCTGTGGAATTCATTTCCAATTCAACACTCATAGCTCTCAAAGCAATCAAATTTGCCATTAAACCAGTCTCCTCATTTTTAGTACGATGCTTGGTCTTTCTACTCAAAGCATCTGTCACAACATTTGCTTTGCCTGGATGGTATTCGATGGTACAGTCGTAATCTTTCAACAACTCTAACCACCTCCTTTGCCTAAGATTTAACTCTTTTTGCTCCATCAAGTACTTGAGACTCTTATGATCAGTAAAGATCTGAAAAGTCTCACCATACAAATAATGACGCCAAATCTTTAAGGCAAATACCACAGCCGCCAGTTCTAAATCATGAGTCGGATAAGATTTCTCATACGGTCGTAATTGCCTGGAAGCATAAGCAATTACTTTACCATGTTGCATGAGAACACATCCTAACCCTTGATGCGAAGCATCACTGTATACCACATAACCTCCAGTTCCTGAGGGAATGGCAAGAACCGGTGCAGTGGTTAACTTCCGCTTCAACTCTTCGAAACTGGATTGACATTTATTATCCCATATAAAAGATTGCTCTTTCCTCAGTAACTTTGTCAATGGTGCAGCAATCAGAGAGAACCCCTCAATGAACCTTCTGTAGTATCCGGCCATGCCAAGGAAACTTCTTAGTTCAGGTATATTTTTCGGTGGGTCCCATTGTATCACTGCTTCTACTTTCCTTGGATCCACCTCTATACCTCTCTCAGACACCACATGGCCCAAAAATACTACTTGATCCATCCAAAATTCACATTTGCTGAACTTAGCATACAACTGCTTTTCCCTCAAAATCTGCAGTACGGTTCTCAAATGCTCCATGTGCTCTTCTTCACTTCCAGAATACACTAGAATATCATCAATAAAGACGATCACAAACTTATCTAGATATTCCTGAAACACTCGGTTCATCAGTGCCATGAACACAGCTGGAGCGTTTGTTAACCCGAAAGGCATAACAAGAAATTCGTAATGCCCATACCTAGTACGAAAAGCTGTCTTCGGTATGGACTCATCCGCTACCCTTAATTGATGATAACCTGATCTTAGATCAATCTTGGAAAAGACCCTCGATCCTTGTAGTTGGTCAAATAAATCATCAATCCGAGGTAACGGATATTTATTCTTAACCGTTAACTTGTTGAGCTTCCGGTAGTCAATACACAGACGGAAAGTTCCATCCTTCTTCTTCACAAATAATACCGGAGCGCCCCAAGGGGAGACACTAGGTCTAATAAACCCCTTATCTAGCAACTCTTGAAGTTGCTCCTTCAGTTCTTTAAGTTCAAACGGAAACATCCGGTACGGAGATACAGAGATCGGAGCAGTGCCCGGTATCAGTTCAATAGTGAAATCTATTTCCCTTTCCGGAGGTAATCCTGGCAGTTCTGAAGGGAACACATCCAGGAACTCCTTCACAACCGGAACATTTTCAGGTTTCAATTCCGGTTTGCCCTCAGTCACATAAGCCAGATACACTTCACAGCCTTCCTTCATCAAACTCACCACCTTGGTGGCCGAGACTAGGCAACTAGGCACCACCTGTCTAGTCCCTCGAAAAATCACATTCTGACCATCTGGTCTTTCGAAAATTACTTCCTTAGTATAACAGTTCATTACGGCTTTATGTTGGCTTAACCAATCCATTCCTAGAATTATATCAAATTCAGTCAGCATTAACCTCAATAAGTTAGCTGGCAGAATAGTTCCAGCTAGACTTATTGGGGCATCAGGATAGGCATATTCAATCACTACGGTATCTCCTACTGGGGTTTGAACTATTACATTCTTGTTCAACATTTCATAGTGCACAGGCAACCCACGTGAGAATGCAGAAGATATGAATGAATGAGTGGCACCAGGATCAATCAACGCATAAGCGGTAAGATCGTAGATAAGAACCGTACCAGTAACGACCTCTGGAGAGATGTCAGCCTCCCTCCTAGTCATAGCAAAGGCTCGTGGCTGCACTTCACCCCGACTGCTCTGTCCACCCTGAATTTTGCCACGATTATTACCACCTCTTCCTGATCCTCTCACTGGACCTCCAGTCCTTCTGGACCCCTGAATTGTGGTATGGGATCCAGCAGGCCTGGACTCTGACATGTGGGGACAATCACGGAGAAAGTGGCTGGTGTCTCCACATCGGAAACACCCACCAGTCACCCTCCTACAAACACCCACATGCTGATTCCCACAATGTGGGCAAATAGGAGCTGGGCCTGCACTTCTCCGCTCCTGTCCGGGGTAACTGGCCACTGGACGTGAAACCTTCGAACTCTGATTAGGTCTACCCCCGAATGAGTTCCCAGCACTCGAGGAACCCACGTTCTTCCACTTTCTCTTCCTTCCTTCATCCATTTGTGATCCCAATCCATTCACCAAATCCTCTGCTCTCATGGCAGCCTCTCTCAAGGTGGCAAGATCAGTCGTCTCTGATTTTGCTACTATCATCTTGATCTGGGGATTCAGGCCTTGCTCATAGCGGTTGCATCTAGCTCGTTCAGTAGGTACCAACTCCATCGCGAAGGTCATCAAACGATGGAAAATGGCATCATACTCTTTAACAGTCTGCCCCCTTTGCTGTTTCAGGTCCAGAAACTCTTTCTTCTTCCTATCCACATACAGATCAGGCACATATTGCTTACGAAATTTCTCAAGAAATTCCGCCCAGGTATACCGAATTGTACGATCCTGAGCCCCCGGGTACGGTCAACCACCAGTCATAAGCATCAGACCTGAGCAGGTAGTACATATACTCCACTCTTGCTTCATCAGGACACTCAAGGAGGTTAAAGATTCGTTCCATCTCTTTGATCCAGTCCAGAGCATCTTTAGGGTCAATAGCCCCTTTAAAGAACTCAGCCCCCATATTCCTCAGCCTTTCAAAATCCTTGACATAAGGATTGACTCTATTGCGGGACTCAGCATTATTCCCATTAAAATTAGACCCTCCAGCATTAGGATTCCCATGAGGTTGCGGATCTGCTCCTTGACTGAACTCCACAAAAACAAAGTACAAAGTCAAAATCAATAATTAGTCACTTCCCCGTCAAATCATTTAAGTTTTCCCAGTAAAATCTCGTTTAAAACGTTTGGTATCCACGGGATCATAACCAAGCTCTGATACCAAAAATGTAAAACCCTTACTTTATATTACAAAACGAAACAGTAAAATACATCGAGTTTAAACATTCTCGGGCCCGAGCTCTACATATTTTTTTTTTCAAACTTCAAACCATAATTTACATTTTCATCAGAGTCAAAACAGAAAACCGGAGAAGTCCGCTTTATTACAAAATCCACACAACATAAAACATTTAAGGAGTTCGGAGTCCTCCGCCCACCTCATGGCTTCCCTTCACGCTTGAGTCCCGATATCTACAGTACAGACCTTACTTCTGATCTTGATCTGAGAAAAAATGATGACGAAGGATGAGTCGTCGCTCAGTGAATAAATTCTAAGCTCGGATCGACATCAATACAAAACCAGTATTGGGCAGAAACACCCTAGCACATAACAGGACTTAAATTGTTTTATCACACTTTTCATTTTACTGAATCAATCAAGTTCACATGCTCACATTCCACAGTCAAAACACATAAAACAGATAACAGATAGAGGCATTTTGCTTATACAATTTCACTTTCAAACTTACTAAATGATATACTCCTCGGGTAGTACAGTAGTGGAAGGCTGCAGGATAACCATGTACAGCTATCAGATAACTGGAGTACCGCGAGACAAAGCCTCATCCGGTACAAACAGGAGTGCACAAGGCACGAAACAGGAGTGCTCGCACCAACAGGAGTATCGCGGGACACAACCCGGACCGATACAAAAACAGGAGTCGCCACTGGATTACCCCATCCCGGCTAACTGAACAGAACAGGAGTACCGTGGGTCGTCACCCAATCGGCACGGTGCGGAGCACGAGCGCTCAAACAGGAGTATCGTGGGGTTTACCCACATCGATACAAACAGGACACACTACTGTACCGAGGTATCATAAAGCCTTTTTACTTATTCTTATGTATTCACCTCTTTTCATTAATAGTTCACTTAGACACTACACGCTCAAAAGCATTCATAGTGCTTTTGCACCCTCAGTCACCACTGAATGGAATGTAAGTTGAGGAGCTGACTCCGAGTTATTCAAGCAAAACAGGATTAGTAAGCCTAATGGCTTAGTCCAAATCTAAACAGACAAGACGGGTTCGCAAGTTCGAATACTTACTCAGAATCCACACAATAAATCAACAAAATGTCTTTCCATATCCCATTCACAATTCATGCATTTCCAACTTCATACCAAAAGCAGATAATGAATAAACACAAATAAGTCATATCACATAGCCATATCATTTCCCATCAATTCCCATATTATACCCGAGCCTCTTCATGACCCCGATATGTATACGGGCCGCTTCATGACCCGAATACTGTGATTATGTTGAAGTAGATCTAAGATTAGAATCTACTCACAGTTTTGTCTTCACTCGGCTATGCCCTTCCCTTCGGATGAGCTCCCGGCTTGCTCCTTACCTTTATGTACAAGATTTCCAGGTTATTCAAGCACCAAGATACGTATACATTCATCAAAATCATGGTTGTGTCCATGCATGTCGATAAGACCACTAGGGAAGTCATACAACCGTACACTTTACCCTGCTTCATCATTTTGATCATTTCTCCCTTGATACTTAACCAAATCAGTTGATTCTTGTTGCTACTGAAACTAGATTCATAGGGATACAACATACCCAAATTTCAGACCATTTGGATCATTCTTTTGATCCCAGCAATCATTTTAACTTGACATTTCAAAACTGTCAACAACTTTCTTTTCACTTCAAAACCAACTCCCCTTCTTCTAACAATTGTTCCTGACCACTCCGATATCCAAACTACATTCTGAACGGTCAGTTCGAAGAAACACATATACTTAACCTCATACCAAATTTCTAGAACGATCCAACGACGGATTCGCACAGGATCTTACCTCTAATCTACTGTCCTGCTACAGAAAAACAGTATCGCACCCCTTCTGTCCAGCGACTTTCCTCGATGAACCAGAGATCATATCGATGATCCCAACGGTCAAATCGTATCCAAAGAAGTATGAAACCCAACCTACAAATCTCAGGACGATCCAACGGCTTGATTGTCCGAAATCGTCCTTCTCACAGGCTGTCCTGCTGCTGGACGGAAATTGGCAGCACCCTCTTTGCTTCCTTCTTCTTCTTCCTCTTCCTCTCCTTGATACGCTTTTCTTTCTAGCTTTCACTCTTTGTTTCTGAAAGGGGGCGGTGGTTTTTGAGGTGGTGAAACCAGGTGGAAGAAAAAGAGCAAGAGAGGGACGTGGGAGAGAGTGAGGGGAAGGGATGAGAAGGAAAATGAGAGATAAGAGGATGGGCAGATTTTTATCTCCCTTATCTAGAATTCTCCATCCCTCCAAATTGTCTATTTGGCCCTAAACTTTCCTTCACTTGCAAATAAGTCTAGAACTTCCACTATTCACTTTCTTTTTGGTTCAAAAGACTATTTTTTGTAACCCGATCACAAACACGTCATAATAATTAGTACGAGGGCAGGGATGATACAGTGCCAACCAGAACAAAGAATCACAAATGCATACAAAACACAGGTACAGTATGATTAAACTAGTTGATTAATAGAGATCCAACTTAACTTACTAATACAATGCAACTTACAAGACTGTGGCATCGGAGTACTTACAACGCCACCACCACCCAGCTTCCTTTTCTTGCGAGTGTACAAGACAGCTCCTGTCATCATCACAAAATTGTTTTCAAAGTCAACATGTGGGCAAGAAAAATATCAATCCTTTTGAATACCAATGCACAAATTTGCTAAGCAAGCAACTCGAAACACAATTGACTGTACATCGTAAACTCGTACTATGCACTTCTCGTTTCCGTTTCCCCATTTGATGAAAATCTACATTTGCACGAAAACATTGTCTGGAACTCTACCTATCAATATGAGACCAGTATTCTCATTTCGCTGGCCAGGATTCTGCAAATTATAAGCTTCAGCCTAAAAAGTCCAGCTCGTTGTCATATCTACTTTATGTCAAAGAAGTTGGATGATCCATTCGTCTTATTAACTGTATTGAAACAATCACGATGCTATTCCTGGCGCCATTACGGTACGCTGCCTTACCAACAACCCTGACTCAATGGATTGAGGATACAGAGGGTTGCTCAAATTCTTCAGTAGACTAGATTCTATATAGACAGATGATGGCAGAGAAGACTTACACTGATTGAACACTGCTTTCCTGATTGGGTGAGAACGAAATCAATCAAGGATGGAGAATGCGTTCGATTCATCAAAGTGCACGATTGGACGAGCCGGAGCCTCTTTCTCCACGGCTTCGTCTATTTTTCAAACCGAACGCACCGGCGGCAGATCAGTTGTGGATGAATTCCTAGTCAGTGTCTCCGACGGTACAGAGTAGGTTCTAAGTTTACCAACTATCGGTTCCAATGAAGGAGGAGGAGGTAGAGAGCCGGAGGAGAAAATCTTTTCGGCGACAGATGAAGTGGAAGGGAAGAGTGCGATGCGCTGCGCGGCGACCAACGGGCTTACCATCGACCCGTATCAGACCAAAGAGGCCAACAGCCCAACACTCTTAAAGTTGGGCTTAATTTCCCAAGAGACCATAAACTTATTCCCTCGATAGGCCCAATACACAGTGTTTTCGTTTGCTTTGTTGATAGTTGATACTGTAAGTCCGTAACAAGGTGTCTCGCGATCTGGCTGGCATTGATGGACCGGCAAATAGGAATGGCAATGGGGCAGGTTCGGGGCGGGTTTCTTGGTACCCAGACCCGCCCCGTGGCAGGGCGGGTCCAGGTCGGGTAATTGATCACGGGTCGCGGGTTGGGGCAGGTCGACCCAATGGGTATGCAATTTATATGAAAAACATTATAAATATTTGTTATTTTTATTATAAGACTAAGAAAACAAACAATATTATGACAATTGTAGTTAAATTATTGGAGAAATTGAGGTTTTCACTAATTTACAACTTTATTATAGCTAAAATATGATGCAATAAAAGGAAAATTCTAAGTAATTAGACTAAGATTACATGTAATTTAGACAAGAATGGGTCGAGAATGGGTCAGGTCAGGGCAGGTCGGGTCGATGAGACTACCCATGCCCGCCCCGCCCCGCCTACGGGGCGGGTCGGACCCGCCCCAAAACAGGTCAAACAGGTCGGGTAAAACGGGTCAGGTCGAAATTGTCATCCCTACCGGCAACTGATATTTGTTATGTTATCCTTATTTAGGGTTTTATTCATATTTATATTGACATAAAATTCAAATAATAAAGAAATAAATCAAGTTCATGTTCGTTTGAGTTTCGAGTAAATGTGCATACGCATAGGTAATAATTCTATTTATCAACGGGTGAATTTCACGTTTGGTCACTCAGATTACATATTTGTTTCACGTTTGTCACCGGAAAATTTTTCCTTTCTTAATAGTCACCCACATTACACTTTTATTTCACTGATGGTCACTGGCCGTTTAACTCCGCCCGACTCCATTAACGTCGTCCGTTTTCCGATGACGTGGCCGACGGAAGTGCCAAGTTGGCAGTCAAAAAAACTGAGTCAGCTTATTTAAAAAAAAGACTTTGAGAACTGACCCAACTCGAACCCGACCGTAGACCCAACCCGGCAAGTCTATTAACTTTAACATTCCGGTCAAAAATGAAAAAGGAAAGCGAAAGGTTCTTCATCTCTCGTTCTCGTTTCCAAGCGAAGGGAATCTTTTGCTTCTTCTGTAAATCTCTATGGTTTAAGTGACCAACCCATTATCTCGTCTCTTTTTCCTTGTGCTTCTTCTTTTTCTCCTTCGTTTATTGATCTCGCCATCATCTCGACCCTCTCCGATTGACGAATCTGCAAAACCCCAAATCCCCAAATTGAAGTATCCAACAGTGATTCCTTGCTTTGCTCTTCTCTCTGAGGGTCGGCGTTGAAGAAAGGAGAAGTTGTAAGGTAATTCCTTGTCGTATTTGAGCTTTTATTGATTTCAATGAGGGTGTTCCTATAGACACGACAAAAGGTGGAAACGATCAAATTTCGGAGTCATGGTTGTCGATGGTGTTTTATCTATTTCAATGTCTGCCTTTTGGATTCTTTTATTGCGACTTGGTGTTGTTTTTTCCAGGTTTTCGAGAATCATGGTGGGACATGTGAGACCACCGAATGGTAGCCCACCTAAATATCGTAAGTTCCGTCGTTTCATGCTTGTTTATATGGTTGTTTATTGGAGATATCGTATCCAGAAATAGCTTTTCCTTTTTCAGAATGCTTTTAGACCACAAAAACGTCACCACTAAGATGAATTACACTAATTTTTAAACCACAGGTCCATGTAGTGGGGAGTTTACTTTTGAAGTTCATGTAGACCATGAATTGAAGAAGAATAGTGGCAAACATTTCTTGAAGGAGAAGGCCAGCATGTTCTATGATTATGCTGACATTGACGAATTATCCCTCTTTGACTTGCCTGATATATATGAGAAGTGTGGTGGGAAGATTCAAAAACCAACATTCTACTGGAAAGCTCCTGTTGGGGGTTGGGGACAAGTAGTCGCGCGGCCAAGTTCCGCGCCTAGATACCTACGCGCGGGCGCACCTACACGGGAACCAGGACTACGCCTGACTGACGTGTCCCATCACTGGTACGGCTCACCTACCTCAACGGAGGTATAAATAAGGCATTTATCATGGAGAGAGGGGGATCAACCAAAGGGACCAGATCATTCTCTCTCTAACTTTCTCTTTCTACAACCTCTCTCTGTAATCCATTTACTCTTATATCTTAATAATACCAGTCCTTAGCGCGTTGCTCACCTCGTATTACTCAAACTCTTCTATACCTAGCGTCTCCCTCCTATCACACCAGCGAGACCTAAACAATTGGCGCCCACCGTGGGGCTTGAGTATGTCTGGAAAGCAAGCGATGAGGACGGCGGAGGAAGATCGAAACCCGACGGCGAAAGAGACGACTCCACTGAAGAGCGTGACGGATAGGCGGGTCTTTGAATCCACCAGTGACTTCAACACGGTACTAATCGAGGAAGAAGAACCGGAGATGTCAGCGAAAGAAATGCGCGCGCAGATGGCGCATAACAACCGAGTGGTGACGGAGATGCAGGGGCAAATGAGCCAGATATTAGCCCTCGTGGCCGGAAGGCACGCACCGACGACTAGTGATGCACCTGATCCCACCCCGGCGAGAAGAGAAACCGAGCGTGCCGCTCCCCCGCGCCAGGAGCCTAGGCCGAGGGCCGACTTAGACTTCCTCGAACAACACCTCTCACCCCTGTATCGCGCGCCCGAGGACGCGCGGCGACCGAGAAGCCTGCGATGCGACATCCTCTTTGCGAAGACATCATGATGGAGCAGATTAATGGGATACCCCCCACCCTCCCGACGTACAACGGGACGACGGATCCAGAGGACCACGTCAGCGCGTTCTGCCTCAGAATGCAGTTGCAAAATTGGTCCAACGCGGCGATGTGCCGCACTTTCCCATCCACCTTTTCGGGCCTGTGCCTCGACTGGTACAACCGATTGCCAGGCGGCATCATTGAGACATTCGAAGAGTTCATCCGCCTGTTCACCACCAAATTCGCGTCACAGAAGAGGCGGCCGCTCCATCCCAAAGCGCTCGTAGACCTCAAACAAAAAGAAGGCGAAAGTTTAAGAGCGTTTTACACGTGGTGGTCGAGGGTGGCCATGGCAGTGCGCGATCTCACGCCGGAGACCGTCGCACTACACCTCATTGATGTGACGACCAACAGCGAATTAAGGCGCGCCCTAGCCAAGAGGCCCGTGATCTCAACATCAGAGCTAGAGTCCAAAGTGGAGAAGGCAATCACACTGGAAGAGACGTTACGAGCGGGATCCGTGCGGAGATTCGAGCCTTCTCGCGGCCCGAGAGAAGACCAAATACGGCGCAATCCTCCCCCGGCGGCGTATCACGGCGGCGGGGCGATGCAACAAAGAGGAGCACAACCAGAACGTGTACCGCGGCGACGGTCCCCCGATCGGCGTCAGATGAACACCTTCACTCCTCTAAACGACACAGTCAAGAACGTGTTTCATGTAATCCGAGAGAAAGGATATAGGGTCAACTGGCCCGCGCCACAGAGAGTGCCCGAGAACATGCGGAACCACAAAAAATATTGCGACTTCCACCGCGAAACGGGACACATGACAAAGGATTGCTATCAACTAAAGGTGGAAATCGAAGCACTCATAAGAAGAGGGCACCTGGCCCACTGCATCGCGGCGACGGGGGACGACGACAGAAAAGAGAAAAACCCCCCTCCACCTCCTAACGCGG